TCAGCAGTAGAAATTTGAAAAAACAATGAAAACTTCATTGAATTTAGCAGAAATTGAAGAGATTTGTGAAAAACAATTAAGGAAAAAATTAATTGCGTTTTCCGTTAAAAGTATTTCTCAACGTAACAATTAGTTACACAAGCGTACGTTGTGTTAGTATTATTACACAAACCACAAAAAAAAGAGGATTCGCAGGTTATAACGCTACAAATTTGAAAGTGTTATGATCATGATAATATCAATATTATATAGTAGTACCGGATTACAGTGGACGTACTTCTAATAATAAAGTCCTATAAGGCCGTTTATAAACTAAAATGAAGTTTGGTTTTTGCTATGTAAGGTAATTAACCATGGTATCTCTGGTATCCATGGTGCTAAGCTATTGGATTTCAGTCCCCGGCGGTACTAAAAATGTTAATTGCAGTTTTAAGTGCTAGCAATATATGGCCTTTGTATAATTTTGATAGGATTAGTAAATAAAAATTAATTCACTTTGCATATTATCTACTTATCTGCCTACTGCTGAACATAAGCCTTCTCCTAGCAATGCCGAAATTCACCGTCCTGAGCCACCTGCATCCATTGATTTTCTGCATCTCTTACCAGGTCGTCCCTCCATTCACGCCCTACACTTCACTTACCGGTACAAAACTGTCACTTGAGAACCTTTTCTTGAAGTTGCCACTACAGCGATATTCCTATATCTACGTACATTTTTACCAACCTTATTTAAGTAAGTCTCATAAGCTTGCATAATAGATCCCGTTGATGTCTTTTACAGGGAGAATGTTGTAAATTATTTTTCGGTACATATTTTCATAACCTAATTAAGCTTAACCCCTTAAAATTGCATCAAAATTATAAAAATAGTGAATTAAAATCCCATTAATGTCAGTAAAAACTAATGGAAATATTTAAAGGAACGCAACAAAAAGAGACTAGCATACCTTATTATAAATACACTTTTTTGTGGTTAGCTTTTAATCGGATTTGATCAACAAAATTAATGTTGTTAAATAAAACACAACTTAAAATTATGAGAAACCAAAAAAAGTTTTGATAGTAATTTTAATATCGTAGCAGTAGGAAAAATTGTCAACGAATATTATTTTCCTTATGTGTGCGGCACATTCAGTGGTGTGTTACAATGTCTGTCAAAACTAGTTGCATCTATTTACAAAATACTTCTTATTGACTTTTGACTATTTCCCCTCGTTTTAGTGTAAACTATACATATTATATAATTACTATTATATTACTTCTGTTTATTAATTAAGTATATTAATAAATGAAAAGTAGAAACTACTAGAGCCTTTTGTATTAAAAATTGTCACCAAGAAACAGGAAATTGTAATGTCGCGTCGTATCCAAATCTACGATTGCGTGATTTATTTCATTTATTACATAAAAAAGTAGTTTGTGTCATAGCTTATGAATAACTGTCAAAGTGATGTCATCAATGACTATTGAATGGTTTAAAGATTTGTGACATCTGTTAACTAGAAATAGGTATGACACAAAATTTGTTGATTTAAATTGTATTAAAAGAGTATACAAATTCTAGCCGTTACAAAACTTGGTTCATTGGTATTCTCGGGTTATAGAAAAGTCTTTGTTACAAAAATACGAGTAGTTTCTTAGTTGCGGCGCTAGTCTTCGCGAAATTTGACATTTGTTGTCAAATTCTACTTTACATTTTAGTTCGCATATATTCCGCGGAACATCTTTTTTTTTATAGGATAGGGTGACAAACGAGCACACAGTCCACCTGATGGTAAGTGGTTGCTGTGACCCATAGACATCTACATTTATCCTCAATGTAGAATCAAAATGCAGATGCGTCGCCACCCGTGAGGACTAAGATGGAATGCCCCTCTTCCAGTAAAATGGGTCTCCAGTTCTCTACACTCATCATACGAAACACAGCAGTGTTAAGGTGCTATTTTACGCTGGTACTCTGTGAGAGCGTGGTCCCTCCCCGGTCGAACCGACCCATTCGTGCTACAACTATACTACTAATATAGATGCAGCATGGCTCTACCACGTATAATTACATATAGAAACAGACTTTAGCTTAAGCTTGAAACTTTTTAAAAATTTCATTTTGTAATTAGATGTTAGGTATCATAAGACAAAGCGATCTCTTGTTTAAAAGGAAACCGGACTAGTCTTCACTCTGGTAATAAATTTAAAAGCAGACTTTGTTTACTCAATTTGGACCTATTTTATACTTTTATTAACATCACGTACTACCATCGGTTTTAAAAATATAACCCACTTAATAAAACTGTTAGATCTTACTTTAAATTAATTAAGGGATATTGTATATTTTATGTGTAGTGGCAGAGTCCGTTTAGCAGTTGCAGTAAGTGAAGAAAGGCGCGCCATGTGTTCCCTTACCTGAGAAGGAAGGGCAGAGGAGAAGTCTTCCCCGAGGAGGGGCTGCCATGAGGCGGCCGGCGTTAGTGGGGTGTAAGACAAAGGAATGTTAAAACAGAAGATACGATGCTACATATCTTCTGTTTTAATTTTCCTCATCATTATCCCATAACTGCTCAAAATAAAAAAAGCTGTGGTTGTCCGCCTACCAAGCGTAGCGGCTAATGCGAATATACCTCTATGAAGGTGTAAGGAGTGTACTTTAATAAAGTGTAGTAATGATACTGAAAAAAGTAGATTTAATTTTTTAAATTTTAGGCTTGGTTTTTTATGGTGTACTTTTGAGGCGACTTCAAAAACAATTCGTCTGTAAGTTTTTTATAGGATAAGGGTGATAAACGAGCACACAGTCCACCTGATGGTAAGTGGTTGCTGCGGCCCATAAACATCTACATTTATTCTAGATTACGAATCAAAATACAGATGCGTTGTCACCCGTGAGGACTAAGATGTAACACCTCATTTTCAGTAAAAAGGGTCTCCGGTGTTCTACACCGGAGACCCTTTTTAACAGTGGTAGAGCCACGCGCAGCTTACGCTGTCGCACGGATGGGCCGGCTCGATCCGGGGTGGTACCACGACCTCACGGAATACCAGCGTGAAGTAGAGGTTTACCTCTGCGTTTCGCTTGGTGAGTGCAGGTGGCCGGAGGCCCTTTTTACTGGAAGTGAGGCATTCCATCTTGGTCCTCACGGGTGACAACGCATCTGCATTTTGATTCGCAAGCGAGGATAGATGTAGATGTCTATGGGCCGCAGCAACCACTTACCATCAGGTGGACTGTGTGCTCGTTTGTCACCCTTATCTTATAAAAAAAAAAAAAAAAAAAAAAACTCACCATACGAAACACAGCAGCGTTAAGCGGCTATTTTACAAAGGTATTCTGTGAGAGCGTGGTCTTTACCCGGTCGAGCTGACCCATTCGTGCTACAACTATACCTAATATTAATATAGCTCTACTGGCTCTACTACGTAAAGTTTTCTATTTTACGCGATATCTTTGTCTATTGTGATCCGAATTTTAATTATTTAGAAATGGTCTCATATAAATTCGAAGAACAATTTTCAACCCTAAGGTTGGTAAAACAGGGGATAAAATTTTTATTGAAAATATTTAGACGACATTGAGATTGTGATTTAACTTTAAATAAAAAAGTAAACGCCGACTAATAAAATAATTTCATTTTTTGAAGTCGGACTTTTAATTTTTTTTACAATATTTAGCACCGATTTCAGAATGTAACATTCGTTTTAGTTGTTTGTAGTCGGTTTTTCTTTTTTGTTAAGTTTTTTTTGTTGCCGGTAAATAGTAGTGCATCGTGCAGCTTTTCAATTTTAAGGATTCACTATAAAATAAGGCAAATATCTTTCCTATAAAGCCCACCATCTAGTCGTATTTTAAGGAATTATCTTTAAGATATTTCAGTTCGATAAAAGAAAGTCAAGATCCGTTGCTAGTACACCTAAAGAACGTTCTTCTTGATCTCGATGATGAGATCATTTCCCAGAATAGGTTAATTCCTCCCCCATCCACAGAAGGGGGAATCCGATTCACATACACACATCAATACATATGTATGGGTGACGCGGGACTGCATATCATAGCAATGGACTTTGAAAGGCTGTAATGATAATGATGAAGATAATACACAAATATACTTTTCTACTTATATTTTTTTTAGAATACGGGTGACAGACGAGAACACAGTCCACCAGATGGTAAGTGGTTGCTGTGGCCCATAGACATCTACATCTATCTTCGTTTGCGAATCAAAATGCAGATGCGTTGTCATCCGTGAGGGCTAAGCTGGAATGCCTCTTTTCCAGTAAAAAGGGTCTCCGGTTCTCTACACTTACCATACGAAACACAGCAGTGTTAAGCTGCTATTTTACGCTGGTATTCTGTGAGAGCGTGGTCCTTTCCCGGTCGAGCCAACTCATTCGTGCTACAACTATACTACTAATATAGCTGCAGCATGGCTCTACTACGTACATATTTAAGCTGTAAATTTTCATGTGAAATGCTAATGATAACACATTAAATAGAAGTGCTAAACGAACTAACCGTTCATCTAATGATAAGTGGTTACTGTAGCCCAATGACACTTGCAACCAAATTAAAATAAAGAAGACTACAGATTCGTTATCACCTTTGAGTACTAAGATGTAACGACTCATATCCTGTAATCATACAGGCTTTCTATACCTTTCAAACAGAAGTACATGCAATGCTATTTGGCGGCTGAAATACATAAGAGGGCGGTATTTACCCTAGGTAGAAAATGAGTCTCAGTTCAGTGCAGTACTTGAAGTAAAACAATTAATAGAGTTATGAGAGGCATAAATATAATAGCATATAAAGATCAAACAAATTTATTCACAAATAAATCTAATGATCCTAATCTACAAGGGAAAACAAATGCAAATGGCTACTAACGGTAAAATTTAAAAACCATAAAATAAAAAAATATAGATTCGATTTTCGAAAAACTGCCAGAAGCCGCCCCACTCTTGAAAAGCGAAGGTTTTATTGCGTGGGGGAGAACGATCGCAGCTCAGTCGCCCGCTCGCCGTCGCAAGCGCAGCCCGTGTCGCGCGGCAACAGTTTTCCATTCACGGAAAAATTGTGTCGCGAGTGCCGCGGGAACCTCAAACTCCAAAGCTTTAGACTTTGTGTCCTTGTTATCAACGTGATGGATAAAGTGCATGGCGTTGTATGAGTGCTTAACCAGTGTATACCTGTACGTTAGTGCTCCCGGCCCACCCTTCCACCACTGAAACCCTACACGTAAGTTAGTTGTGTAAGAGCCTTATGCAATTTGAGCGCGAAACATTTTGAAACTGAAAGTTGTCTTACGAAAGGAACACAGTCGATATCCATCAAAGGCGTTAATGACGCGATTCGTTAGGATTTTATCGATGCAAAAAACACTGTCGCGTATCGCGAATATCCATTCTTACACTCGACAAACCTGAATGACAACCTTTGAACTATAAGGCCGGTCGAAAGGCTGCGATTTTCTTTCGAAGGCTAATCCTGAGCAAATAATGTCGAGTAAATATTTAAGTGAGTCGGCTGCGAAGCGGATTTGGCTTTGTTTGTTTCGTTTTACATCATACATAATGAGTTTGAAAGGTGTTTGGCTAACTTTATTAACATGCATTTTTATATTTTACATTTTTGTGTAATTTACGCTCTTATGAATGCCTCGTTGATCTAGTGGTTCATGTGCGATTTTTGCTTGTGATCATATGGTCCCGGGTGCAAATCCTGGTTCAGGTCAAAATCAGTTGTTGGATTTTTCTGTCAAGAAATGCACAGCAGCAACCCGGATCCAGGAAGTTGGCGGTGTTTCACCCCAGTACTTGGGGAGCAATCTCCCTCCGGTTGTATCGGACTGCTGTCCCATCGGACTGTGAGAATTAGGGAGTAGAGTTTGCACCCGTGTTTGCTTACACATTCGTGCTTTATAATTATGTCCTTCGTATATGGCTAGACTCCGGTGTCACTGGCCGCCGCGCCGTTTTCATAGTTCAGTCTGGAGGAGGTCATTATGATTTATGTTTTAATAATACGTATTATCATTGTATTATAGTAAATATAGTCTGTAAATATTATATATTATTATTTATAAAGACTTGCAAAATGCATTTAAAATAGTCTAAGTTAATATGAGTAGTTGTAAGAAAGACATTGAGTTCACTTTATGGAAATCTTTCTCTTGTGTTTAATAATATTATGCACGTTTCTTTGAAAATCATCTTGTTACTACTTTGTTTGATTAAAGTTTCTGAAATTGTGAATAGTATATATAATAAAATTAGAAATATTCAGTATTTTAAGTGTGTATTGCTTTATATTCTTATCATTAAATGAATTAATTTATAGTATGATGTTACAATGAATACTGTATTTTTTTATAATTTAGATTTAGCCCTTAAATAGTCCAAGCTGGATGTGGGCCTCTTACTTGATACAAAAATAAATTTACAGCCTCTAAAACCCTCGACAGGGTCTTATTCCTTAGCACACGTCTCCTCTCATTTCTGAGAGGATTTTAGGACAATGAAGTGTTCACTGCGCTGTCTCAATGCGTGTTGGCAATCTTCATATTTCTTCGTAATATTTTTTTATTTCTCAGTTACACAGTTTGCTCATGATGTTTTTCTTTCACCGCCGAGAATATATTAAATCGGCACTTGTTATAATTGTAATCAATTTCATTGGTGCCTACAGGGATCGAACCCAGGCTGCACGCGTACTGTGCAATTTACAGCGGGCGCTTAGCCCTTAGTAGATTAGGAGGAAATTATCATTAGCGGTAAGTAAAACATAACTAAGGTCATATGTTTTGATACTTTCGTAAAAAGGGTCTAAAATCAACAACTTTGATGACTCTCCATTTGTGAAAATTAATAAAAATTTATTTGTACCCTAATGTGTGTTGTCAGCTCGAGATAATGAAATCCTTGACACTAGGGTAAGAAAAAATTTTGCGACTCTTTTTTCACATATTAAATGAATTTTCAGGAAAATAGAAAAAATATTCCCTGAAAAATAATTGAATTTAATTCTACGCCAAACATCCAACACCGAAGAGTTAGAGATCCGTGACATATGGACGCGGAGACAGAGAGCAGTGTAACAAGGCGTCCGTTTACTTGGTTTTACACTTAGGTCACGAAACCCCCAAAACCTATAATGAAAAACGTTTAAAAACATTTATTGTATCAATACATCAGTTGTTTTGAAAGTTAGTCTTTTTGATAAAATATAGCGTTCAGTCTAAATCTAAATATCATCGGTTAATAATTTTAATGTAATTTGTATTATAATTTCGAACATTAACAGATCATAAGATAGGAAATATTACCAATTAATTATTTGTAATGTTAGAAACATCGGTATTTTGTTAGCACTGACCTTAACTATTTCCTAAGGATCGAATTATAGCCTTGTAAATTAAATTTGCTCCATATACTAATTAAAATATATGGAAATACGTTATTATTTCTGCCTAAATATTTTATTTTATTAACATATACATTAACGTACAGTAAATATATTTACGATATATATTTGCTTATCTTATATAAATAGTTTCATAATTCACTTACATAGGGCCTTAACACAACAACGTTCTCATTGTATGGCATGGATACCAAAATTTGGTATGGTATGGAATGAACTGAAATAGAATGGAGTAGAGCAAATTTTTCCAATTTTGTGAAATGTTTTCTTATATTGACACAAAAGAGTAAGGTATAGGTGATACGTATATGAAACTAGCTAAAATGTTAAAAAAAAGATATTTGTTTATTTATTTTTTTCAAACTATTTTACGTGGTAGAGCCATGCTGCAGCTATATTAGTAGTATAGTTGTAGCACGAATGGGTCTGCTCGACCGGGGAAGGACCACGCTCTCACAGAATACCAACGTAAAATAGCAGCTTAACGCTCGTGTTTCGTATGGTGAGTGTAGAGAACCGGAGACCATTTTTACTGGAAAAGAGGCATTCCATCTTAGTCCTCACGGGTGACAACGCATCTGCATTTTGATTCGCAAACGAGAATAAATGTAGATGTCTATGGGCCACAGCAACCACTTACCATCGGGTGGACTGTGTGCTCGTTTGTCACCCTATCATATAAAAAAAAACACGTAAAATTTTATGGTAACAGATTGTATTTGTATATATTTATAATAAACAGAATTAACGTCAAGTGTAAATAAAAAAATAGTGAAGTGATCTAATGTTATTAATGATTAAAAGTAATATCATAAAATGTAATAATTTCTTATATATAATTTTAATAATAAGCGACAGTGAAACTGATCTGGCAAAAGGTGTTAGAACTCCTTTTACTGAGTGGTACGACTCTTTTTGTTTTGTTTATGAGCTCATCTGGGTAGGTTCAAGTCACTTACCATAGAAAAAGCAATCTCCTTTTTACGCTAATATGCTATGAGAGAATAGCTATTCCTTGGTCGAGTCAACCTATTCGTGCAACATAACACAGCTGCATCGTGGTTCTATCAAATTAAAATGCTTCAGTTGTTTTATTTTGGCACAAAAGGTTTTAAATAATTATTTTTAAATCTAAGTTTTAGTTCACTTTTCCGCCCTTTGTGCACAGATTCTATATGAGCGCTGTAATAAATTTTTTTTAAATATTTCTAATCTTACTCGTAAATATGAATCGTGAATAATATTTCGAAATAGATTTGTAAGACTAAGTTTTGTCATGTTTTATTTAATGCGTTGCAAATTTCTTCAGTTCCCAAGTATCATTCAATACTTGTAAGTTTTATGGCCATAAAACATATTCAAACGTTAACCTTTGAGCTTAGTATGGCGAATTTGCTCTTACAACACGTTAATATGCATAGAGATACTGAAGTTTAGTAATGAAGCTACGTATTCAAGTTAGGGATGACAAATTTATATAAATACTTGCTGGCCAGGCAGACGTTGTTCTGTCCTTTTCGACGACTCTTCATATAATAAATCCTTAAATTCGTAATAAAAAAAATATTGAGTGTCACTTATTAGGAAAACTAACCTATTTCTCATGTTGGACCAAACTGCACAGAGTGTGCAAAATTTCATTGAAATCATTTCAGTAGTTTAGGATTTCATCGAGGACAAACAACGTGACACGTAATTTTTATATATAAAGATATGAAATCAGATAAAAAATCTTAAAAGTATCATTAATTGCTCAATTAGTGAAAGTTAGTAAAGTAGTTCCCTTTAATGGAAGTGGTCACATATACATAATTTTTTTATATAGTGGAAGTCAACAATTTGTGTAAATATACTATAATAGATAAAGTTTTAATGAAGAAATTTATAGTTTAAATATATATTTCTACTTCATGTCATGCATACAATAAAGTAACTGTATTTTATCTATCGTATCGTATTAGATCTATGTAGAAGGTTTTGGAAAAAATGCCTTTATGATACGAGTATGTTTCTGTACAAACCACTAAAAGAATGAAAACTTTCCCTCCAAATCCAAGATATTTGGTTCCTATTAAATGTTAGGACTGGTTTTACTACTTCATTAAGTAGTCTTTCAGTCGTCACATTATATAGTTATTGCCTTTTAGTTTGAGCCGGACATGTTTCACAACAACACGTCTAGGTGTTTGACGAATATCAAACTCATTAGGTATTTGCGTCAAAATGTGTGATTTTTGAGCTTGTTGGTGGTATTAGTGTCACATCAGGCGAGGATATGCTAGGACTAGTATTTGGGACACTATTGAATGATAAGACATTTCTTGACTAGGAGCCACTCTGTGTATGCGCTCCCTGTATTACCTATTTAACCAAGCTGAAACATTTAGCTTTTGTGTAAATTTTGTACATTTATACGGATTGTAAGTCATTTTATCTTAATTTACGGAAGTGACCACGAAACTACAATATTCTTTTTTTTTTAGTTATTTTCAGGGTGCAGTACACCCTTACTAGGTGGCCTGTTAACTCGGTTGTCATTTTATAGATATAATGAAATTCTTTGTTCATAATCGCAAAATCATTAGTAGGCGGGTCGGCAACCGCAGTTTTTAATTTGTTGTTCTAGTTGTTATTAAAAATACACTGTTGTCCATCTCCTGGTTTGTTTCTCTCTGACATCTTCTACAATAGCCACGGAGCGATATGATGTAGTGGATATTCTTATACCGCTCCTTCCTGGTGACAAATGAGTTATGTAAGAGTAATTTCGTTTATAACAAGATTTATATTTTAACCGACTTCAAAAAAAGGTGGAG